AGGACGGAATAAATGAGCTGGACTTTAACTTTTTCTCGCTGGAGGAAGTTCGATCGATCGAACCTTAACTTGGATCGATCGAAAATGGGTTCGATCGATCGAACTGCATCTTGGATCGATCGAAGTGGTCTGACTCCTCCGGATAATGATAAGGCTGGGATATTTTCAAGATATTTATGGGGAAAAAGACAAAAGTGATTGGTAGGCGTACAGCTGTGGATAAGATCAATCATTTGAATAGGACAAAATAGGGTTCGATCGATTGAAGGTGATGTTCGATCGATCGAACTTGGAATTTCAGCAAAGGCCAAGGTTAGATCTATCGAGAAGTACTGTGATCGATCATAGATGTTCGATCGATCGAACTCTAAGTTGGATCGATCGAACTTTTCAGCTGCACAACTTGATTCCTTTTTGCTCCTTTCTTTCTCCACTTTGCTCCCTCCTTTGGTTTATCTCAGAATTGCTTCAATTAAGCTCTTATTTGGCTGAGTTAGCTAACTTTTGGGATTAGTCCCTGAAAATATAAATAACACGTAATAAGTCTAAAACGGCAAGGTAAGATAGATAAAGGTACTGGAATGCTTAAGCTTAACGGGTTTAAATGCGCACTTTTCAGTGCTCATCAAACATAGAGATTTAATGAATGAAGATAGGAATGAGAATCAAAATGAAGAAAATGTGAATGAACTTGAAGATTTGGTAAATGAAGAATATATGAATGAGAATGATAATCTTCCTTTGAACATTAATGATCCAGGAAATTGAAAAAATATCGATAAAATAAATGAGAGATTTATTAGTTGAAAGAGGTCCTCCATGAGATGCTAAACTTTGAAATTTTTTCTAAGGATTCAAAAAATTGACATTTATTGTTGTGCGTGTGAAACTTTATGTATAAAGGGCCTCACATTAAAGTTCGCCTAGGGCCTCTCGAGATTTTTACAATCTTAGGGCCAGCCCTGAACCTGCCCCCGTTGCCATCCCTAATCCTACCAACCGATGTGGCCCAATATAATTATAACAATTTTAAAGATGGATGTTACTCATTTTTCATGGGTTAAATCTTTTTTCTTTTTATTTTTTCCTTAACTGTTTTTTCCCATTTTTTTCCCTTTCCTTCTAAGTCACGATCATCTGCCTCTCTTCTCCTCTTCCCCTCTTCCCCTCTCTCCACAGCAAAATAAATCAAATGTTAGCCCTAATCCCATTGCTCGGCCCAATAGAGTGGATAGGGCCCAACAAGACTCAAAAACAATTTATTTCTTAAAGTGTTCTAATCCACACATCAATGATAACAAAAACCGATGACATAGGACATATTCTTCATCTCTCTTCCCCTCTCGAACCCTAACCCTAATAACCCACTACTCTTCCCCTCCCGCCGCGGCTGCTGCCTGCAACAAAGCACTTTGAAGGCGTAGTCACTCGATCTCACCTAGAAGATAATGGCGATCAGTTCTTCATCTGCCTCTTCGCCCTATGTAATTGCTAGGTATTCAATGGCTAAACAACCATCCTCGGGTTTAAAAGAATTGCTCAATGACCTAAGGGTTTGTTCAGTACCTGAACCACAGTTTTCTTGGCCCTCCGACCTCCTGGAAGAATTGATGGACTTGACCTTGGAGTATCTCCCGGACTTGTTGTTAACACCCAAATTTAACCCACATTCATATACATATTATTTTTTGCATTTTTGGGCCAACAACAATGAAAGGGTGACCTTTTAGTTCTATTTTGGTGAAACTCCCTATCATCTTGAAACACCCATATGTTACATAGTTATCAAATGATGATATTACAAGAATTGGGTAAAGTTGAAAAGTGAGCTTTTAGTTTAACCAATGTTAGTGTGCAATGTAAGGAAAGTCCAAAATCTTGGGCAATACACTTTCATAGTTTCCTTATCTAAGGGTGAAGAATGAGCAAGGTGATGACGTGACACACATCAAGCAATGGTAACATGGTTGGTGCTTTGGAGAGAAATTCATTATAAATATCCAACCAAGGCTATAAGCAAGAGGACTCCAAAAAACCAACATTATGCTTCTCTTTCTTATCTCCTTTAGGCCACTGGCCTTTTTTATTTTCTCCTAGCAATAGTTCATAGTGTAGTTTTATAACTCATCTTCTATTTAGTTTATCAGCTTTCATGTAAACTTATCATAGTCGTTGTCTTACTCTTTAGTATTAGTTGATTATCAATGTTTCCACTTTTGTTTCCCATGCTCTAGTTTATGTTACATTCTAGTTTGTACTTTGTATTTTCATTAGATGCTAATGAAATATCACTTTGTTTTAACAAGAAGATGTATTCATTTAATTTGCCACCATTATTTTCTCATTCATTTTACTCTTCGCATCATCTTCATTAACCATTTGAGAAAAATTTAAGTCCTTGTTACCAAGGCAATGCTAACCCAGTAGGAGGTGTTTTCCCCGCCTCCTCACAGTCGCCTAACCAATTTTCAGGACTAATTTAACATGGGGAATATGGTTCGGCTCATACCCTGAGTTCAGGTCGAGGACTCTGGCACACCCGCACTTCTCAAGAGCCGCAAATTGTGCAAACACTTGTCTGATCTCATACGATGTCGCGGTGTCTACCAATCGTGGTGATTGGAAGGTTCCTCCATTATTACTCCTAAGTGATCTTAAAACCTTCATCTTATCGAAATATTATACGAAAAGAGTACTAATCTCAGATACCAAAACCACTAAGAAGGAGTTTCATTTTGATCTCCCAAAAATGTTTCATTTTGGTTCAAGCCCTTGCATCTCGTCTTACCGTGGATGGCTACTATTGCTTCAACTGGATCTGGAAGCCCTTCCCAGTACTGTATATAGGTTGTGTTTGGCGTGGCTTCTGGAGGCTCCAAAATGGGCTTTTAAGCCCAGGAAGGAATTCTACAAAAAAATTGAGTGTTTGGTAAATATTTTTAAACGGGCTTCCTTATGAAGCCCAACTTTTCAAAAGTCCATTCTACCGAAGCAACAAAATGAGGCTTCTCAAATTCACTTCTCGGGAAGCAAGGAGGGTTTTAAGTGATAAATATTATTGATTTTGACCTTATAAATTATAATTTTTTTCCAAATTAACCTTCGTTCTCAATTTTATTACAAGAGAAATCTATGTCTACTAGGGGAGATGACGAACTAACAGGAAAAAGAAAATTCGCATGAAGCGTGCTCTCCTTTCTCGCCGGAGTTCCGCATAGTTACTCAGCCCACAAGTGTTTGGATTTTTGCTGGAGAATATTATGTATTTAGGATTTTGAAGATGAATTTGAGTGTTGCTACACTCCTAATCATAGTATTTTTCATCAAATTCTCCATTCCCAATTTGCCACTGCCCTAGAATCCATTATCGAATCATCGTTTATGTAAGTTCACCTTTATCAATCTCTAGAATTTCTTTGACCAATGAAGAGTTTTGGTATGTTTCGTCTCCTATGGAAAGTTTTAAAATTCCTATGGAATACGCAGAAAAAAAATTCCTATGGAATACGCGGGCCAAAAAAATTCCTACAAAAAAATTTCGTATGGAGGCAAAAAAAAATCAGCTGGCAAAAAAAATTCATACAAAAAAATTTCGTTTGGAATAGGCAGGCAAAAAAAATTCCGAGAGAAAATTTAGGACTAACATTCCTATTTAACAAAATTTCCAATTCTCTAAATACTATTGCTATATATATTATCTGTCTCCCTTTCAATCTTTCGTAGCTCTTTCAATTTCTGCAAATTCTGGATTCAGAAGTTGCAAAACTCGGACTCAGGTTAGACATGATTTTTTAAGTGCATCATAGCACAATTTGTTTCTTCTGCAAAATTATTCTCATTGTTACTGAATATGTTATCTTCCTTCTATATTCAAGACATGAACTTTTTGGTCAATTTGATGTTGTGAAGGTGTATGATCACATATTATCTCCTCTTTCTTGCTAGTTATCATCATTGGGTTTTTGTTAAGGTGTTTATATATTGATCTATAGCACTTTATGGTTTTTCTAATTTCAAAGTTGTAGAATTTGGCACATGTCTCTATTTATCATCATTGGGCCATGAGACAAGGTTTTGGTTCAATCTCTTTGTGATGTCATGGACAGTTTGGGAAAGCTATCATGCTGTGATCTACTTCCTTCTAGCTAAAGGATAGGAATCATTCTGTTCATTTTTGTTGTTGTTTTCTCTGTACTGTGTCTTTAGTGTTTGGTGTATATGTGCCTAGTGTGGGCTGTGTGGTTTTTTGTTGGTGTTTCTATTGGTTGTCAATGTGTTTTGCCTTTTGGTAAGGGAAACCTTAATGTTGATTTTTCCTTTGCCTTCTTCGTCTCTCGTACGAGGTATGCCCTATTCTCCCCTGTATTTATTGAACCATTTTTATATTAAAAAATTCCTCCATTTAAAAAAAAAAAAAAAAATTTGTTGTGGACAAACTTTATAAATAACAAGGTGATTAAATATTGATAAATCTGCACCAATAAATAGTTCAAAGATTGACACTTCTTCGCTTTTAATTTGTTGTTTTATTGAAGTTGAGGTTATTTTAATTCTTTATAGATTATTGATTTTATGGTATGAAATGAACTCTTATAATGAGGACATAGGAAATGGGGGCAACTTTAATTCTTTTTATTTTTATGTATTCATCTATGTATTTATAGATGTATCATGCATTACATGTTTGTAGCTTATTCCGGTGCCTAACTTGCTCACAAACATGCATGTTGTACCATGCATTTTGATTGTCCAAGCTAATTTGTTACATTATGTTATAGATGGCAAATAATGAAACAGGTGGGTTATCAATGCAAAGTCAAAAGAGTGAAAAAAATGGAAAAACAATTTGGAATAATGAGTTGCATAGTATTTTTGTACAATTATGCTATGATCAAATGTTAAAGGGAAATAAAAAAGGGACTGTCCTTAGTAAGGAATGATGGAATTATATACTGCAAAACTTTCAAAGGAGAACTGGAAAAAAATATGACAAAAAACAGATGAAAAATCATTGGGATAGTACAAAGAGTGAGTGGAAGATATGGTATAAACTGAAAAGGGAAGAGACTGGGCTTGGATGGGATTATGAAAAAGATACAGTCGTGGCTAGTGACGATTGGTGGGTTAATTACTTGCAAGTATATACCTCTTCTTTTTCTTTTTTTCTTTTTTTAATTATATGAATATGCATGCACTATTTTGTAATTATAAGTTATGATAAAAATTATTTTGTTAACAGGTCAATCCAGATGCAGCTAAGTTTCGTGAGAAGGGAATTGAACACTCTTACCAATTAACAGCTCTATTTAAAGATGGGATAACAACAGGTAATTCGGCTTATGGACCTTCACAAGGAACTTTACCAGAAGATAATGCTGGACCTTGTCCAATTGAGCAAGATACACAGGATACTCAAGAAGAAATGGACGTAGATACTATATTTCATAATGAAGAAGAACATAGGGAATATGATAATAATCAAGAAACTGGTGGTGTTAGGGAGAATGATGGTACACGTAAAAAATCAGAGGATTTCATTCCGCCAATTGAGAAACGCCGAAAAGTGACTCCGGCAACTAATATGAACAACATGCTTGAGAGAATATGCAATGCAGTTGAATCAAGGGCAGCAAATTCTAACCGTGCTGGCGGAAGAAACACAATCAAGGAGTGCATAGACTTGTTGAACCAAATGACAAAAATACCAAAAGGAGGAGATCTTTACATGTTTGGTTGCGACACTTTGTTCTTACAAAAAGAACTACGAGAGCTATTTGTGGCACTCGGAGAGCATGATTTACGTCTTAGTTGGCTTCAAAATCGACACATGGCTTCTAAGACATCCCATCCATAGTTTTTTATTTTTTTAAAAATTAGTATTTAGTTTCAAAATTACCATTATGCAATTTTTATCATTATTTATTTATTTTTATTTATTTTAATAGAAATTGATAGTTTTAAGATACTGGAGTGGTTATTTGAGGTTGTTATTTTTATTTTTATTTATTAATGGAAATGCTCTATTTTAGACTTTCTAAATGTGTGATACATGTTCTTATATATTATTTGTTATTTATAATTTGTTTATTGTATAGATTTTGATGAAGGACGTTCATTGTGACAGTTAAGCATGACTTCAGACGACAATTTTCAATCTGATGACGAATTTGATGAAATGGTGGCAGATGCATTGCTGGGTGTTGCAGTTTGTGTTTCAACTAATTACCACACCACCTATATTGTGAAAGAACCATATAGAAATTCGAATTATACAGGACGTCAATTTGTAATGGAAGTATTAGCTGGACATCATAAGCGTTGTCATGAGTTATTTCGCATGGAAAAACATGTATTTTTACGGCTTTGTCAAGAGCTCAAATGAAGGGATCTATTAAAAGATAGTCGTGAAATTTCTGTGGAGCATAATGAAAGAAATAGGATGCTACAAGAACGATTTCAACACTCTGGTGAGACTATTAGTAGGCATTTTAATACAGTTCTGAAAGCCCTAGTAACATTCTCAATGTCAATTATCGTGCCTCCTTCGTTTGATGATATCCCTATTCATATACGCAACAATCCTAAATATTGGCCTCATTTTAAGGTAATTTATGTACTTCTTTCATAATTGATTATATTATTATATTTTATCATTATTTCATTGTTAACTTCATAACAATCTTTTTTGTAGGGTTGCATTGGTGCAATCGATGGAACACATATTGATGCAGTGATTCCAGTCGATCAACAACTTGCATATCATGGACGTAAAGGAGATTGCACACAAAATGTGATGGCTGCTTGCTCATTTGATATGAAATGCACATTTGTTTGGGCTGGATGGGAGGGATCGGCTCATGATTCTCGTATACTTAATGAAGCTCTTAGTAGGCCAAATTTGAACTTTCCCAAACCTCCAAGTGGTTCGTATAATATTTTTTTTTTTTCTTTTTTATAGTTTTTTATGTAACTTTTTTTTATATATTTTTCTTTTTCTTTTTGTAAGTAAATATTATGTTGTTGATGCTGGGTATGCTAACATGCCAGGATATTTAGCACCATATAAAGGAGTACGTTATCATTTACAAGAATTTCAAAGAAATCGCCAACCAAGAGGAGTTAGAGAACTGTTTAATTATGCTCACTCATCTCTTAGAAATATAATTGAACGTTGTTTTGGAGTTTGGAAGGCTCGGTGGGCAATTTTAAAACATATGGCTCCTTTTCCATTCCCAACACAAAGGTTAATTGTGATTGCATCAATGGCATTACACAATTATATACGACAAGAAGTAATAGCGGATGCCGAATTTCGACGATATGATGATGATGAAGGTTATGCCAGTGACAACGATGATATGTACACGCGTGCTACTTTATCGGAATCTAGTGGAACGGTGGACCAACAACAAGAGATGAGCATTATACGTGATGGGATTGCTAATTCAATATGGCAATCAACTAGATAAATTGTTCCTTAGTTTGTTTATGTCTGAGGATTGATTCTAAAGTTTTAATTTATTTATTTTGAATAATTATTGTTTATTTGAAATTAGTATTTAAATTATTGATCATGTTTACTTTATATATAAATGAAAATTTGTCGTCTTCTTTAAATAATATTTAACATATCGATTATCCATTTTTAGTGGTAGAAGTGTTCTATCTAATTGTTCATTATAATTTTATGTTAATTACAATTTTTTTTTTTTTTTTTGAATTACTAAACTGTTGTTGATATGATTCAATATTTGTGTCAAATAGGATGTAGAAAAATATTATGTAAGGATATTATTGTAAATTTGTAGTTATTTAATAGTAGAAGGACTTTGGTGACTTTGCAACCAAACACATATCGTGTCAGTAAAATCACTTTTGTAGAAGTTTGCAAAAGTAAGGTTTACCAAACGCCTTTTTTATTTCTAAATTTCTTCCTATAAGTGATTCTTGAAAGCCCATTATAGTGAAAGGACTTTTCACAACAGGAAGCTCCCCCAAACACAGTCATAAGCAATTTGTCCCATCAATGATAGAAGGTGATCATAAAGCCAGTAGTAAAATTACATTGCCCCCATTTTCTTCTTAAACTGATATATATATATATATATTTTTTGTTTTGGAATGTTAAGCAAATTATATATATATGGTAACAATATTTACAAACTTCAGCTTGGGCCGAAGTGCAGCCAAAGCCATACAAAACCGGGTTAACTATGAACCACAAACCCTAAGCCCATACATCTATTGTGAGGCCGAGGAGAACTATCAATCCTCCACCACAAAGCTGAGAGGATAGAAGTCAACGGCGATCATTGATGGTTCAGTCAGGTGGTCTCGGCAGAGGTCTGTAGTGACAGGAGTCATCTTCCTCCCATACTCTCAAGGCAAGAACAGCTTCTGGCACACTCCGAGATTGAAGTCGTCCCCGAATTGACGTAGAGATTCGATGCAGGACAGTGTTCTGAGACAATCCAATTTTTCTCTCTTGCCATAAGTGATAGATGGTTGCTGCAAAGGCTAAGATTGTGACTTGATTCGAGAAGCTCTTCTGGCGCCGATGGTGAGAAGTCCAATTTACAAGTTCAGCCCAATTAGAAGGCCGAATGTGAAATCCACCTCTTCCCTGTATAAAGCTCCAAATTGGGGAGTAGAATTGGCTGCCAAAGAAATGGTGGTCATGGCTTTCTGTATCAAACTGATATTGCTAAAACAAGTCCACTGAATCTTTTCAAGAACCCTAGTCAAGCTTCGAGAACCTCCAAGTCCACTGTGTTTAAGTGGACAACTTAGATTCATCACATCATGCACTGCTTCTGATCCCAATTGCATCACCTTTGCATACAATCTTCTCACATGCTTGGTGGCCTTTTATGGACTACTGGACAGAAAGTGGTCGCCTCTCTTTATGTCGGAAAACATACCTGTTGAAGCCATCTTCTACCATAGTTGATGATCTTGGTGTGCTTCGACGTCTCTTGTTCGATATTGACTGTAATTCTTTTGAAGAGGAGGTGGTATCGGAGGATGTTGATGGTAGTACTCCACATAGATACTTGGTTGAGTCGTCCTCTTCTTCTTCCGCTGGTGATGGTGGTTGTGAGGAGGTTTCACCTTTTAACAAATAAAACCTGCTTCTTTGAGATTTTCAAGTTGGACTGGAGCAATGGTACATGGGAAGAGGTGTTTGACTTGGGTGATTCTAAGCTTGTCTCGGCAGATCAAAAGGATTTTGGGTTGTATGACTTGGGAAATATGAAGATTCAACCACTAAATCTTTCAACTGAGCACATGAGTCTTCCACGTTGTTGATGGTTTCAACACACAGTATAGGTACAATTTGATGTATTGCGTATCTCATCTATTTAAGATTTAATCTTATGACTTTTGTGTTAGTTATTATGATCACATTGTTAGCTATTATATATGATCACATTCACATTCTCTAAACTTGCTAGATGTTGGTCATGCCACGTCCACGCATCAAGAGTACCATAAATGATTGTGGACTGTGGGACTATATGTTGAAATTGAGTAGGAAAGTTCATACTTGTGTTGGTCATGCCATGTCCAAGCACATAATTAACTTGCTGGTAACTAAAGAATTGTAAGAGTTTGTGGTTAAATTCCAAGGACTACTCTGGTTCTATAATTCATTGCCATGTTAGTGCTGGTTTTCCTTGATGATGTGTTCATTGTGGTTCAACTTTACTCTTTGTCTGGCTTTCTTTAGCATGTTCTTGTTTTGTTTCTTTCCTTTTAATGTATATATTGAATATTCTGATCACCTTTTTTTCTTTTCTTAAAAGGTAAGCTTGTGTATAGAATAGGAAGAATGTACATGGAGCCTATTAAGGGGATAAACAAAATACAACTATACAAACATAAGCCCTTAACTTAAGGACAATATAACTCAAAAGGACACAACAATGTCTTCACAGTGATCACAATGATCATTGGACACCAGCTTGCAAAGAAGCACCAAACAAAACTTCTAATCTTGGACTCCAAATTCCACCTTCTGAATAACTCCAAAAGGACACAACGATGTCTTCACAGTGATCATTGGACACCAGGTTGCACCCAAGCACCAAACAGGACCTCCAATCCTGACTCCAAATTCCACTTTGTGGATTACACCAATGGTGTTAGTCTGAGAATGTCAAACCAGTAGCCATTTTTGTGCACAGGATCTAAGTTAGGCCTCCAATTTCACTACCCATCAACCAATATAAGCCTCCAACTTTTTTACCCATCCACAAGAGCAGTGTGTGAGGCCACTCCATCCCTGTAAACTTCAGACTTTAGTCTCACCTATCATGTTTCAGGATATTAGCGAAGTTTGCCCACAAGCTGTGGAACAGCCCTGCTGAAAAAGTAATTGCAGTTGTGAGAGAGATGAAATCTTCTTCAAGTCAGAGCTGTTTTTTAGCTTGAATGTTGCTAGTCTTGCTCTAACACAGCTTTTGACTTGATTGGTTCTTAAAGGCTCTTGCATTCCTTTCCATCCAAATAAAATACACAGCAGCAGCCCAAAGTAGCTTATGGATTAAGAAGTCTGGTGAGCTCGAATGAGAAGCACACCATTGTACCAAGTCAGTCCAGTTATCTGGCCCAATTTAGAACCCTGCCACCTCTTGAACAAATCTCCAGATGTGTGAAGTGTACTCACATTTGAAGAATAAGTGATTCATGGATTCCCAATCTGAATTACATAGGTAGCAGCTGTTTGTGTAGTGCTTGTGGAGAACTGGTTTGGCATCCAATGTGTATAGTCTTCCGCTCACAGCAAGCCAAAGTATGAGACTATGCTTAGGTATATGGTGCTTGAACCACACACCTTTGTGCCAAGGGAAGATTGGGGAGGGAGGGGTGAAGTATTTAAATGTGTGTGCCATTGTGAACTCTTTGGTAGGACTAGGTAGCCATTCAAATTATTCTGATCACCTTTAGTACAACAATAGGAACATTTATTTTATTGCTGGTTCTAGCCTAAATAGAAGAGAGAATTCAGTACCAATTAAAGCCTTTACAACGATTCATGTTACACATAATATTGACTGCTGGGTGCCCACATTTGATTTATTCTTTAATTGTTATGTATCGATCCTTCACCTTTGTGAACTGAGAATATAAAACCGGCCAGCATGTAATACAAATCAACACGTGCGTGTAAATAATTATAAACTTGCTAGATGTTGTTATTTGCTTTGCTTTGTCCCTAATATTGCTGAAGCTTAAGCTTTAAGCTCTGGGCTTATGTATTGCTCAGCTCCCTGTTATTTGCTTTGTTAAGAAATATCCATAGGGTTCATTTTTTTTAAAACAGTTTGCTGAATTGATGTTGTTCCTTCAACTGATAGCTATGATGTGATTCGAATGACTTTTATACAGCTACTCTGGAATTTTTTTCAATTTATGTTATTAATTATTTCTCTCAGTATGGGGTGTATAGAAAAGGAAATGGACAGCATGCACTGTAACCATACATTTTCCCTTTAATTAACATTCAAAGGAAATGATTATACCTTTTTTGCAATTAGAAAATCATCTTGAAGGTAATGCTATATATGACTACAAATTATATGCACATATTATATTAATAATTGGACCACAGAGAGTAATAAAATTCTATAGATTTAACAAAAAAATTGTTACGGACGAAGCTTGATATAAGGTTATTCTCTCTTTGTTTTGCTATTTTTAATTTATTTTTTGTTCATGGAATACAGTGTTCCTATTGAGATTGCCGCTGGTTTTGGGAATTCAAGTATCTTTACCCTACTGCCAGGGCATTGAGAAGTTTTATTCAGAACGACTCAAGGAAAACAAAGAAGAACAGAAGTAAGTATGAGGAGTGATCTATATTTTTTTGAAGTGAGCAGAAACTTTCATTCCATTTGATCAATGGTTTCAGACTATGTCCATTCACAGGTATTGCTATTACTAGGCTGATTTGAATGTGTTTGATTAAACATCAATTGTTAGCAAGAAAATGCTTGCTCATTACCATAATTCACATATAATAATTTAGCCCATCATATATACATACAAGTCTATATCACACAAATAGACAATTGATTTATACTTCCTCTGTCCCAAAATACATGACCGCTTTTGGGATAGAGCTCTGGCTTTGGCTGCGCGCGTGTATGTTGGCAGGTATGAAAGCAAGTTATGATTATGATTGAAGCAAATGGTGGACTGAGATGGATATAATCTATTATGTGGCTGCTAAACAATGTTCAGATTTTCTAGATACCATGGAACACAATGTTATAGAGGGCATTCAATTGCAGTTTTCTTTATTTCAGGATTGAAATCGTGTTGAAGTTTCTATGTTGACGTGAAAAATTAGACAATTGATTTAATAAATAACCCAAATAGGAACATAAATTAAATAATGGATCACTATTATCTCTCTTTAATTCAATAAGCAGTTAATATATATATATATATTTTTATTAAGGTTAAATTTGAAAGAGATATCTAATAATAATTGAAATATATAGAGAATGCAGAAAAGGATATATATGTATTGTGTGTTTTCAGTACATTATATTTTTAGGGCGAATTGAGAAAAAAAAAAAACCTTGACTATTACTCACTTGCAAGAATTTTTCATTGCGAATATTTCTAGCAAGGAAAACCCCCCTCCCCCTATATTGAGGGGCATTTTAACTGACGGATTGGCCACCACAATCCACCTCCGTCCAACACAAAATCCAAAAAAATCAAACATCATCATAGCATTAGCCGCAAATAAACAGGAACAATATATATCTGCGTAAAAGCATCGATATGAAGCCAAAAAAAAAAAAAAAATTTAGAAAGGAAAAAAGAAAACCCAATACAAGAATTGAAGTTGATCTTAGAGTTGAAGAAAATGAAGAGGAAGGTTCAATGGAACGGAGCTGTTGGTGTTACTTTTGTTCAATATTAATCAATTAATCAAATCTGTTTTTCTCAGCAATTATCTCTAACTGCTGTGCGCGCACGTCCTTCTGTCTCGGCTTGAGGTAAGCACTTTGCCAAAGTTAGAGAGAGAGTGTCTTGATTCTAAATTAGACTTTAGAGAGAGAGTGTCTTGATTCTAAATTAGACTTTAGAGATAGAGAGGGGCGTCAAATTTTGTGTTGTAAACTGTAACGGTCGTTCGACACTTGTATCCTGGATTGGATTCGTGAATTTCCCTTTTAGATACCCTAACCCTAATTTGAAAAGGAAACCTAACCCTAATTTGAAAAGGAAACTTAACCCTATATATATATAATAACCCACCGCGCCTCCGAAATATTTTCATTCCACAGCCTCTTCCTCAAACCCAACCACCAAAATCCCTAAGCCCATCTAAAGTAATTGCTAGGTATCCAATGGCTAAAGAACCGTACATTGGATTGGTGAGAGACCTAAGGGCTTGTTCGGTAACCCAACCACCGTTTTGTTGGCCCTCCGACCTCCCGGAAGAATTGCTGGATTTGATCTTGGACCATCTCCGGGACTTGTCCGATCTCAACCGATGTCGCGGCGTCTGCCGTTGGTGGCGATCTGCTGCAGCTCGGATGATTTGTGGTAATAATAATCATGCACTCCCTCCATTCCTAGTCATATTTACTTTAGAAACCCTCATCTTATCAAGAGAATGGAATAGAGTTTTATGCGCACCTGAAAGAGAAACCATCAAGGAGGTTGATATCCCAAAAATACTTCGTCATTGTTTTGGTTCAACCCCATGCATCTCATCTTACCGTGGTTGGCTACTAGTGCTTATACTCCGAACCCGTATTGATACTATATATAAGAAACATGTGGACTGCTCAGGTACTGATATGACAACCGGTACTCAATTTACAGTCTCCCAATTTTCTTCCCCGGAACCTGATCTTGTTGAAACAACACCACTGTATCTTTTCAATCCGTATTCAAGAATGCTAGTCAAGCTTCGAGAACCTCCACGGCGACTGTGTATGAATGGACAGCTTAGATTCGTCACTTCATGCACTGCTGCGGATCCCAATTGTATCATTTTTGCCTACAATCTTTGCTCAAACTCGGTGGCTTTTTACGTACTACGACACAAAAAGTGGTCGCCTCTCTTTACTTTTAATAATTCAAACAACACAAGAAGACCTGTTGAAGCCATTTTCTACCAGGGTCACTTCTATGCAGCTGATAATCATGGTGTGGTTCGACGGCTATTGTTCGACATTGAAGATAATTCTTACGAGGAGGAAGTGGTATCCGTTGATATTGGTGGTAGGACTCCACATAGATACCTGGTTGAGTCCCCGTCTTCTTCTTCTTCTTCTTCTTCTCTGATGATGGTTGTGAGGAGGTTTCACCTTCAAACAAGGGCAACCAAGTCGTTTGAGATTTTCAAGTTGGATTGGAGGAATGGTAAATGGGAAGAGGTGAATAGCTTGGGTGATCAAGCCCTCTTCTTGTCCCATCACGATTCTCAACTTGTCTCCCACTATCCTGGATATAGCCTTAACTCCTTCTATTTCAGGAAGAACAGTGTCTTTTTCGTTGATGATCTCTTTGCACATTGGAACTCAGGTAACTTTGATTTCGGGTTGTATGACTTGGGAAATCGGTCGGTTCGTCCGCTAAATATATGTCGCCAGTTTATGCAGCTTCCACATTGTGGATGGTTTCAACCGGCACTATAGGTATTGTGCACCTTTATTGTTTTTTTCAAAGGTAAATTCTCAATTTCAATTTTTGTTTTAGTTGTTCTGATCACATTAACATATATATTAGGACAGATTATATTAGAAATATATGAGGATAAAATAAGCAATCATTGTATCAAAGATATTAAAGAAATTCAACTCAGATATCTTAGCATGCCTAATATAAAAAATATTTAGTACTCCCTAATATTTACTAATTAGATTCTTATATTCAAGTTTAAGTATCTTTTTTAATAGATAATATAGTTAATTCATTTAATCTTTCTTGTGGCATAGTTAAGTTGGATATGATTTTATCAACTTTAATTTTGAAAAACTCCTTTCATAAATTAAAGAGAATTAAAGAGAATATGAAAAGGTTCACCAATTCTCACAACAACAATTAAATGCAAGGAAAAAAAGAAAACAAGAGAGTGAAAAAAAAATAATAATAATAGTTAGAGATAAGAATGTAAATTAACTTTTTGTTTTTTGGCTCACTATTAAATTTTTAGAGAGGTAATAATGTAAGAAAATATAAAATTTTGTGGCAATTTTTATTGGATTGAGTCTAATAATAGACGAAAATAAAATTGTTTCGGAGAAGTTTGTAATATAAAGAAATAAATATTTTTAGGATCTTTCTTTTGACTGGGCCTTTGGGCGACCGCCCAAGTCGCCTAATGGTCTAGCTGGCCTGGCATGATGGAGTGTGTCTCTTCCTATGGGCTTGGCTTGAATTTTGAAATAATTTTTGGATAAAGAAATACACTACCTAAGTATTATCATATATTTAATTTAATATAATTTATCTTATTTGTACTAGAGGAGGAAGTTACTTGTCTTTCCTTTTCTCTCCAAAATCTCTTTCTCATTCCTGCTTTATATCATAATTGATCATTCAGTACGTTTGTTTCTGCAGATCCTGATTTGCTTCAAGAATTAAAGCTTGGCAAGTGACGAGGAAGTTTTTTTATTTTATTTTTTTATTTTTAGAATTGTATCAGAGTCTATCGAGCTCTTAAAGCACCCATAATATATTTTTGGGGAATATATAAAGCTTTATATGTTCTGTATTTGCATTTGGCTTTCATAATGGTAATGTACAATTATCTCCCAAACAATTTGCAAAGTAGACGAACAAAGAGGAATTCGTTGGAGACGCGAACGAGCATCTCTTTAGCCTGCACTAATAATCTAAAGACCAAAAATATAGTATTTCAGGCATGAATTCTCGTTATGCTTTAGAGATCGGAGATGAAGAGCATGACCACATTTTCTTTAATTGCTCCTACTTAAACATGGGATTTACTCGATTGCTAACTGGATGTCATTGGGTGGGTTGGGACGGCTATAGACATTCTTTTTCCTAACTCATTTCAATAAATAGAAATGTTTAGAGTCAAATTTGTCCAGATTTATATTCTTTTAAGAAAAATAATATATGCAAACTTTTTGGCCAAATCTAGAATAAATTTTGTAAAAAAAGTAAAAAATAGTAAAATATTTAATAATTATAATAATAAAATTTTTGTTAAAATTTAAAATTATACTAAGAAATAAATGAAACTATAGTCTATAGTTAATAAAATAAGGGCGGGACGCTTCATGAACCAGGTAAGTGAGAGAGAGTGTTTTATAAACCAGTTGCGATTACATATTAAGAAACTACTATAAAACAAGGAATTTAATTATGAGATTTCAAATCCCATTAAAAATTCATTTCCATTTTAAAAATATATTCCTCTTAGTTCCATTTTGAATTCCAAGTCTCATCAAATCCCACCGCCATTCCAAACAGAGTGTAACGTGAATCACGAATCTTATTCTTATATCATCTCTTTATAAAACGGTGCATATTTTTCGTCTGTCACTTCCCCCCTCTCAAACCCTAACCCTAACAACCGCTGCTGCCTCCAACTTTGAAGGCATTGGAGTCTCTCGATCGCACCCAAGAAGAGAATGCCTATAATATCTTCTTTAGTTTTAAAAAAATTGATCAGTCACCTAAAGGTGAAGTGTTCAGTAAAATCTGAAGCACAGTTTTTTTTGGCCCTCCCACTTCCCAGAAGAATTGCTGGACTTGATCTTGGAACATCTCACGGACTTGTCTGATCTCATTCGATCGCGGTGTCTGCCATTCATGGGGATCTGCTGCAGCTCGGAAGCTTTGTGGTAATAGCCATGCATTCTGACATGTTTCTATGCAAATTGCAAACCAATGTTGATGTAGTTAAATGGGATTTGTTGATTGTATTAAAATGCACTGTGGTTTGGTTGAAGCAGTTTCATATTGAAGTAATGGGCTTGTATAACCAATCATTTCCTATATCTGCATAGTACACCATTTCTTGTGTTCAAAATTGTTTCCCTTGCTGAGAATCATGCCTATGTTTATTTTTTGATAAGTACGAATCATGCCTATGTTGATAATGAATTAATGCATTTAGTACTGCTTCAGGCGTTGTCTTTAGGGTTTTCTTTCGTTATTGATAGTTGAAATACAGTGCTCCCTCATAACTCCAGTGGAATTAAATGTTCTCACACACATCATATTTTTGTTGTTGTGTCCGCAACATTGGCATGAGTATTGGTTATGAACAGTTTGTGCAACCCACACGCTGCCACTGCTGTGATCTTAACTATTTATCACTTACATCTTATCTAATTTAATTGCAGATAAAACTTATTTTGTCATATTTTTCCTCCGATGGGCTATGGGAATGGGAAAAGTAGTTTACTTCATAAGAAAAGAGAGTTGGTTCATGGCACCTTAAGGGTCACATTCTTGAAAAATATGGAATTTGCAAAAGTAGTGATGGCCCTGATGAATATTGAGCATATTCACAATATTATTGCTCCCTTTTTGGATATTGCATAGCCATTTATTTATAAATATTGGTCTGAATATTGATATATTGTAGAATAATAGACAGCTAGGAGAAAAAACAAAATTTGGACCCACCCTAGATTGGATTAGCTTCTATATTTACATTTTTTCTTAAAATGAATGAAAATACAATATTATATCTATAATATTATTATATTTCCAGGTTCTCCTTCAAGCTCGAGTATAGATATCCACTCATATCCATCTTGTGGCGTATTGTAGAGAATTGATCTAAAGCCTTAGTAAATACATCAGCTAACTATCTATCTCTCATGCTTGACATGCATAATGTAACTTGTTTCTTCATCACCATATCTCTGCAGAAACCATGATGAACCTTTATATGCTTTGTCGTTTCACGAAATGCATTTCATAAGTTTATGAATTGTAAATCCCATGTTGTAAAATGAAGACTCCATCAACGTCATTTTGCAAACAATACGAGCCATGTTTATATTCAGTTTCAGCAGTAGACCCAGTGACCACGCTGCTTCTTATTCTTTCACATAACTAGAAGCTTAAACACAAGACCTTTCCCAGGTTCCATTCACAAGCTTCAAAATGAAAACAGTTCCCCGATGTTCTCAGCATGAATTGATTTACAATCCTATGACCTCACATCCTGCTTTTGAAATGTACTAGCCTCAAGGAGTATATAACATGATCTATCTCATTTCAAGCCCATGACATGCTAATAATTTCAATAGCACTTAGTCGATATACAACTCTACTTCATAACAAGTATATCTATTTCACTTGTGATTATGTGTCTGTTTGAAGCCTGGACTATGATCTCCACCACGATCAAAATCGTTATCCCGAAATGAAAAGTTTTATGACCCATATTAACCCTGATTGCAATTATCATGGCCTTTGAAGGAACCTTACCGACTCTCTGGATTAACCAAGGCTGAGTTTTTCTCCCTGAACAGTCTGAAGAAGATAAAGTATCTACTAGAATTTGAAGCAACTGCACATGCAGATCACTTGAAAGCATCACCCAGAGGCTTGTCACGTTGCTAAAAAAGAAGAAACATATCATCATAAACCATAGACACGTTCTTCATGGAAAACATTTTAATATGTTACGGCCAACTATTCTCAATGGCAAGTCGCATTAAAATGCTAAAACAACTTATTTATACTCTAAAATGCTACCTAACAGCTTACAAAATTATGACCATCTGGCAAACAACCATCTGTAATGAACATCAAAACTCAAACGAAGAACATCGAAAAGTACCATCTGAGCGATATTAATTTTGACATGGAATAAGACTCAATTTTTTTGAAAATCAACTCTCAATAATCACAATAATGAAGTAGCACTATCTAACCAAGAAAAAACTCACTTCAGCAGCAAAATGCCATTTTGGACATACAAAATAAACAGCAACCAGAAGCTTCAATAATTAGAAAAGTGAATGCTCAAACTAGGGTTTTAGCATAGAAGTTGCATTAAAACTACACAACCACAACAAACTAGTACACCCCACGGTAAATTGAAGCCAAACAGGCCATAAGCATTGATGTCCCTGCACTGTATGGACAGGTGTACAGGCATCCTTACACTCGCACGGGCTGCCACCTTTCTCAAGTCATTCTTCTGGTCTTTCAATAACATTGAAGGAAAAGGATTGAGGGGAAGAAGAACAAAGGTAAAATGAGGAAGAATAATCACCTGGTAGCAATATAGTGTCTGGTTGGATCATGGCTCTGATGCCATGACCTGGGTGTTGATATCAAAGGCAACTGAGAGCTGTGAGAGAACTGTGAACTATAGCTATTATTATTTGAAATGATTGAAATTACAATATTGTTCCTATTAGCATGTTTATTTCTCAAGAAATATGTTCTCCTTATGCCGTTTCCACAATAATTTGTTTGAAATTTATAAATGTTACCTGTAAGTTTGTGTGAGTAGACTTGCCCTAAGCTAGTCCAGATCAGGTGTGCATGTCAAAAAAGAGACATGAATTTTTTTTTTTTTTTTTTTTTTTGTGATCCCATTAAAAACTTCATTTAAGATCATGTGGATAGAATATCACTTTTTCTTACAGTTTATACAATAAAGTTGATATATGCAGCTGATATGTGACCGTTGTTTCTCATGTCCGTTATAGCGGTTTCTTTGATGTCATGATTGGACTGATTATTTTCTCTGACTTTCTGCAGGTGTGGATTTTAAGGTAAAACATGTTACTATTGGGGGGTAAAAGTTGAAGCTTGCAATTTGGGATGCAGGTAATGCTCCTTGTGTTTGTGATCTACTCTATCTCCATAATAATAAAAAATGAAAGAAAAATACTTAAAAATGGAGTATCATATGTTTATTCTTTGTTCAGGATTTCTTCCACAGTTTTTAGGCATTTATTTTGATTTTCTATACTTTCTGCACCAGTGGCAGGATCCGTTTAGTGTAGCTAGGGATGTCTGCATTGATATTATCCAAATTCAGTCTTTGATAATGATATCAACCATTTGAGACTGTTCATGCATTTATGAGCGATCAAATGATATTAGAAGTTAGTGTTCATGCTAAAGTAATTGAGGTTACTACATACTGTCATCTGCTCAGATAATGAAATGTCAAAACCACGTGCATCTGAGTTCACCCAGTACACGTGAATATAATGATAATTAACTGTCATTAAAATTATCTAAAAAAAGAATTAAAGAACTATCATAACATATAGGATATGACCTGTGGGAATGGTAATAATTGAGGACCATGCATTCTTGGTCTCATTATAGTTTGTTTTGTTTTAGTATATGTTTAGTAAATCTAGCAGTTAGATGTCTTGGCAATTTGTTTGAGGATGTGTGAGTTCACACAAGTCGAAGGTGCAGAAGAGGGAGAGGAGGGGCAAATAGGACATGAATAGAATTAGCAAAAGAGATTTAAAATGTTTTGTTCTCCGGACGCGCTCCCCTTTTTGAGTGTCTTTAAAGAAAACTTACTTATAAAAATGATAATACTGCTTGTAATGGAAGTTGCATCTTCAGTGAATTAGTCACTGTTAGGCTCACTTGTGAAAATTATTTCCACTGGATTTTCTGGGAACTTGTGTGCATACAGATTCCTGGAGCTGGTGGCTGAGTTCTTGATCCTCCAAGGCACTTGTAATCACAGTATACGTTGTTTGACTATTAGGTACCCTTATGTAGGTAGATTTCAGCAGTCAAGAAGCATATATATAGGAAGAGTTGATCTTTTAAACTGATAACAATTCCAAGCACATTTTTGCCATATGGGATATAATTTTTTTTCTTTTTCTCATCTTATTCTTACTTCTCTTTTATTTTTTCACCCCATCATTTGTTACTTTCCCAGAGAAACCTGGTGACAGTCTTATCCTCTGTATACATCCCAACTTGCGCTGTGTTTGTTTGATGGAAAATGTTTCTTCAGAGATTCTTCCTGTTCAAAACAAATTAGGCTTTAGTCTAACAAGTATACTTTCGAAGCCAATTGAGGTGTATTTAATTTCCCCCAAACTTCTTAGAGTGTTTTTTTTTTTTTTGATAAGTAAAACTTCTTAGAGTTTTGATCAAGATAAATGGAACCTTAAACAGTATCTCTCTCTTTTTGTTCCTCAACAAGCTTTACAAGGTTTTATTTTTCCTTTCAAACAAAGATAGGTAAAGGGACTTTGATCTCCTTCATTCTTCAATCTTCTGCCACCTGTTTTCTTGTAGAAAACCATTCAAGCAGGCGTTCTCTCACCAGCTGCATGTGTGGACATTATCTTTGTCAATTTTATTTGTGCAGTTTAAGTTTTAAAAATCTTTCTGATTTTTATTTTCGAGTTTTTATGTTCTTAATCATTCTTTTCCTTCCAGAAATTAGAATTTTTTTTATGCCCAGCCCTTTTTATAATTAATACTTAAAAGTTTGTTCCCAAGTCATTCTTCTAATGTAAAATTACTGAATTCAGAAATCTATTTTGAGGTTAAAGAAACACAAAATCTATAATTGCATTATGTGATTGTATATGGTCTGGGCACTTCAACCAGCTGCATGTGTGGACATATCTTTCTTTCTTTTCTTTTCTTTTTTTTTTTCTCCTGAATTTGGTCATATCTTTTTGAACTGTGTTTGAGTAAATTTTCAAGCTCTTAATCCTTCTTTACCTTACAGAATGTGGAAGTTATATTCCCTGCAAAATCTTCTTTCTTTCTTGATTTATGCTATAAGGTTGATCCCCAAGACATTCATCCCATGAGTAATATTGATTTCAGAAATCTATTTCTGCGGTTAAAGAAACACAAGATCTTTAATTGCTTACTGCTTTGTCAAAAGTTTAATGGATTTGCATAAAAATGTGATATTATGGTTTGGCAGTTCTGTTTCTTTGCAAATCCTGGTATTTTTATATTCTAATTCCTTGCAAAATTTTCCTTTTTTTATGATTGATATTATGATCTTTTCCAAGTACACATACATGCTTGTGGGTCATAACTCATAACTCATTAAATGGTTTCCGCTGCTATTGCGCATATAGACCCTTGGTTTGACTTGTAGTAGGAAGACTGTGAAGCATAAGGGAATATAAGTAAAGATCCTAAAGATCGTTAAATCGTCTAATTTATTATCATTGTAGGGAGTAAATCCTATGGATTACAGTAGAAGATGCAAATATGAGAAAGAGATCAAATGGTTGGATTACTAATTTAGAAGCGCCAAAAGCTCCGAGTACCATCCTTAAGAATGTTCGGAATGTTTGAGTTTAGTTTTTGTTTATGTTTTTAAAGTTAGGTAAGTTAAGTTGAGTACTCGTCCAAGGGAATATTGGTGAATTCAAATCTTAAGTAAGGGCAAAAGGGTTTATGTTTGTTTAGGACGGAATATTACCACCACTTTTTCTTTAGGTTACATTTAACATGAATCCCCATGAAAGAGTTGAATCCGGCAGTGTCCAGAACTCTCCATAGTTAAATTTGCTTGACATATGACAATGTTGTTCTCACTTTTTATTGTGCAGCTGGACAGGAAAGATTCAGGACATTAACTAGTTCATATTACAGATGAGCTCTAGGAATAATAATGGGCAAGTTATTTTCTTTCTTCTGCATTTGTCCCTGTTTATTTATTTTCTCTGGCAATTTGATTTAATATTTGTGCCTTCAATGTTGTATTGATATATGAAATTCCTCAAGTTGTTTGATCATAAACCTTGATCTGTCATGATTGGTTGAAAGAATCGCATCATACATGGATTTATTTTCCTTTTAATACCCATTGCATATACTAGGTATTCGTTCATTGCCTTCTTAATTCTGAAAATGGAGGATGCTCTCATTTAATAAATCATCTCTGTACAAGATTCAGGAAGCTATGACCAAAATGAACTAAATTGTCCTTTCTGTGAATTTTTAGGCAGTTTACAGGACAGTGATTGTGTCTGAAGAGTTAGGGCATTTGTTCACGTTTTCAATTCAGTCCATCAGAATATAGAAATATGCATTTGTCGCTTCAGGTCTTAATTATATGGTGTGATATGTAACCCTCCATAGTTTATCATATATAACCTGAACCCTTTCTGCTTGCCAACTTCATCCCGATGATTTATTTTCTGCCTTACGGAACTCGAAAGTGTATTGCTGCTGAAACTTTTCTATTTGTTTACAGAATCCATTTTGAGAAAGAGACGATGGTAACATATTTTAAGTTTGTCTATTCATCAGTTTATCCTTATTACGAGCGATTAGTAAGGTGCAATTTTCCTGGTACCTTGTGTGGCCATGATTTTTTGTATTTACGTCTGATTTTCATTTTACTTTTTATATTTAACCTTCATGAAGATTTCTGCTTTATTAAGTGGTAATACTAGGATGTGAATGGATCTATCAGATAGGTAAATCGTACTTTTGCTTCGGCGTATAATTAAATGATTTAAGAATGAATATAATGACTACTGTGGTAGCATTTAGAACAAGGAGTGTATTCTATTGCAACACAGGAGATAATTTCTCAGAATAAAACTTGTTCTGGCAGTTTGTTGATTCTAATCCATGGAATGTGAGTTATGTGATACTTATTGTAGTGGGAAAAAGAAAAAGAAAAAAAATCATTGGTGTAGGTTTTAATTGGCACCAATCTCCTTTCTGGCAAATTCTTGGTACTAGATGACTTCCATTTCTTAGAATTCCTGAATTTTAAATAATATTTATTTCAGCTGGTTTCTGCCTGTGGTTTGTCCTAATTCTTCTTATTAGAAGCTTCCACTTCATCTCGAAGTTTTAAATCCCAAGTTATTGTGTAAACCTAACCAATTACTTTTGGAAATTGGTACAGTTTATGATGTAACACGACGAGAAACATTTACGAATCTATCTGATGTATGGGCTAAAGAAATTGACTTGTACTCAACAAATCAGGATCGCATCAGGATGCTTGTTGGCAACAAAGTTGATAAGGTATGGCTTTTAGAAATTTGCATCTAGAGCTCTTTTATCTTTACCCCTTGGGTGCTACAAGAAGTTTTTTCCAACAGTTTTTGCACAGTTGAATTACTCATCTGCTAGAGATTGGGTTCAGAGTTTTCTGTGTTATAAACTATAAAATGTGACATTTTCTTTTTGTAGATTTAAGCAAATTATAAAATGTGACATTGTTGGATAATATGATGATGCTTGTGCCATATTAAGGTTAATGCCTACATCTTAATTTGTCTTTCTCAGGAGAGTGAAAGGGTTGTCACCAAAAGAGAGGGTGTTGACTTTGCTAGGGAATGTGGATGCCTTTTCATCGAATGTAGTGCAAAAACTCGGGCCAATGTGGAGCAATGCTTTGAGGAACTTGTTCTGAAGGTATGCAAATATGCTAGCATCTTTTCCCAGGTTTGTTTATTATATGATCATCAAGTGTCCCTCTGTTCATGTTGCCTTGTTTTGGCCATGACTTGAGGTACGGGTTTGGATCCATGTAAGTGGGTTAAACTCCAAGGATAGTAACATTATTTCAAATAGCTCCAAACATTTTTCTTTTTCTGTAAGTGAAATGTTGGGTCCACTTGCATTCACCAAAATGGCAAATTGATGTAAGTTGGAGTATGAGAGAGAACAAGGAATTGACCAAATGACCCATGTATTGTAAGTTAAGGATTACAAGCAGAGGTCATTATTACTATTAGGTGCTAAAGGAAGAAGGCTTCTACCCCATGGTCACTATGCCCCCGCCACGCAAGCCTCGGTCTAATCATTTCTTTTATCCTTTAAAAAGGAAAAAGAAAAAGAATGGGTTCAAAGCATTTTATTATTAATCACTCACTAAATTATTTGTTGTTTGGATTAATTGGATCCATATTGATACGCATGTGATGTCCTGTCAACTTACTTTGCGGGATTTATATTCTTTTTTTTGTCACTAGGCCTTTAAGGTAAACATGAAAATTTTGGCAAATGCCACACGAATTTATAAGAGACCTGAAATTTGTAATGTAGTATTCGGAACAAAAATGGTTTCACAAATATTTGTTACAGTGTTACCTCAGTATAAAACTCGGGCCAATTTCCATGTTTCCAAGACATGGATTAAAAAAGGTCATGGTAGGGGGGATGGTGGTGCCATATTGAATTATAAAGTGCATTATTTATTCAAGATAACTATGCTGAAATAAGTAAAATTGTGTTAAAGACCCTATGAAATTCATGTATGTGGAAAATGTCTGCGTATTAGTGAAGTTACATTTACCCAGGAGGATGGTTATTAGGTTAGCTATATTGTATAGACCCTGGTGTTGGACGTTGAAAATGAAACAAGAATAATGCATTCAAGTAGTGGAAATGTCCAGAATGGAAGTGACAAAGAGGCATGGGATGAAGTAATTAAAAATAATTTAAAAATAAATAAATATTAGAGGAGAAATGATTATAATAGGAAAGAATGGAAAAAGAGAATTCATGTGGCTGGCTCCATTCATTTGCGAGAAAGGTATGGGTGATGTTGACGATATTTACCATGAGGTCTATGAGAGTCCTATAGGAGTATCTTGGCATGCATTATTTGATTGCCGGCATGGACAATATGATGAGTGTAACCTTTCTGTTTCTAGGTATACTTGGAGCATTCTTTTTCTCTATCAAATAACATGAAGTGATCCATTTAGCTGTATATAATAAACATTACGATAAGTTGTTTTAGTAATTTAACATATTTGCATGTTTTCATCCTCTATAAAGTTTACCAAAAATAAAAAAAAATAAGGGGAAAAAACTGTAAATTGGGATGACCTTAAGACATATACTCATATAGTGATATTGGGTGTGAGCCAGCTTCTCCTATCAAAGAAACGAGATTTCTTGTAACTTTATGTTGTCAGTTATTGATTATATTTTCTTTAAGAGAGAAAATACATTGTACCTTTTCTTTTATTTTATTTTTTTTAAATTGTGTTTTGGACAAGTTGACACCTCCCATTATTCCCTCTTTCGCCCTGTTGGGTTGGTATCACTGCTACTCTGTTGTCTTACCTGGCATTTCCACTAGCATTTATTCTTACCTACTTATTTGTTAGAATGTTATATATATATATATATAGATGTTAGGTCATTATGTAATTACATTTAGTTAGTAGGCCCTTGTGTTATTTAGTTAACCTTGTATCCTTTATATAAGTCTACATAGGCTTATTAGGTTAAGTGATAATATATGAAATAAACAACTGCAGTAGCCATGATCTCTCTCTCTCTCTCTCTCTCTCTCATCAGTTTGAACATGGTATCAGAGCGGTACGAAACAATGGGAACCTAAGATTGTAGTTGTGATTGCATCTGGGTTGTTCTTCTACAAATCGAAATCAAGATCGAAGCCGATTCTGTTCTTCGCTGAAGATTTGGCCGCCGTTCTGTTCAGAGCCGGAGGTTTGAAGCTGTCGTTGTGTTCAACGCTTCTTGTCTGTCGTTCTCAGATCTGAAGCCTTTCGTTTTGTTGGCCGAGGCTTCCTTGGCTGTCGCAAGTTGCAGAGGTTCCATCATCGCGATCCATCTCCGCTCGGTTGTTAGATCGCTGCTTGTGTTGGTTTGCCGTCACCGCTGCAAGGGCTAGGGTGTGTACTAGCCTTGTTTTTCCATTGCAAATCTCGGGTGCTGGAATTTCTTGTCGGTGGCAGAGTTCTGGTTCTCTCCGGCGCTGATTGTGAAGGAGAAGGGTGGTGTTTAGCTGCAGGAGTGAAGCTATTCCAACCCTGCTTTACTAAACCTGGGATAGCTATTCCAACCCTGGTTTACTAAAACGGGGATAGCCCAAATCCGGACCGTTTGACCAAATCTGACCTGTTTGACCAGATTCGGCCCGTTTAATCAGATCCGGCCCACTTTTCAGGTTCGGCCAGAATACATATTTTGCATTTTTTTTTTCTTCTCTGTTTTTGCTGGGTTCACCATGGCGCCCAGTTCAGATTTGCTTTCTTCCACATCCGATCTTCATTCTCCCATGACTTCAGTTAAGCTCTATGGGAAGAGTTACATACTGTGGGCTAAATCTGTTGCAATTTTTCTCAAGGGTAGAGGTAAACTCAAGGCCACTGATGCTTCTTTTGATACATGGGAAAAGGAAGATGCTTAGATCATCTCTATGATGTTAAACAGTATTGAACCTCAAATCAGTTCAACCTTACTCTATTTGGACACTGCCAAGGAGATATGGGACAGATTGTAGCAATTGTATTCTGGGACAGGTAATATCACTCGTGTTTATGAGCTTTGTAAGCAGTACTTCAGTCTTGAACAAGGTAATCACAGTATAGAAGAGTATTATTCCAAAGTTCTGGGAGTTTATGAGGAGCTGAATATGTATCAGCCCATTACCGCTGATGTTCGTAGTATGCAACAACAACCTGAAGACTTTAATGTTGTCCGTTTTCTTACTGGTTTGTCATCAGTCTATGAGTCTTTTCGTGCACAGATTATGGGCAGTCCCACACTTCCATCTCTTGCTGAAGTGTTTTCTCGACTTCAGCATGCTACATTTGCTAGTGATACCTCAACTTCGAATATTGGGCAGAGTGGTGAGCGTTCAGCATTGGTAGTTTCAAAGGGTGACCATAGTGCTAACCGTGGCGGTCGTGGGGGACGCTCCCACGTGGTGGTCGTGATTCACGGGGAGGACGTGGCCGTGGTAGGGAATCACGAAAATGCACTCATTGTGGCCTTTCTAATCATACTGTGAATTTTTGTTGGGACCTTCACGGCAAACCATCTAGTTATGCACATCAAGTTTCCTCCTCTCCGAATGATGTTGCTTCTGGATCTCACAATGTAGCTGAATCAGATACAGTCCCTGTTCCACGTGATGAGTATACTCAGTTTTTGTCTCATAAGCAAGCATCTAATTCATCTTCCACGGCTATCTTTGCCCAGTCAGGTACTGCACACACGTCTATTGTCTTCCACTCGCAGTCCTTGGATCATAAACACTGGAGCATCCGATCATATGACTGGATATTCTTCTCTTCTATCTAATTTTAATTCTGTACCTTCCTCTCAAAGTGTCACTCTTGCTAATGGTTCGTCCACTATGGTTTCAGGTTTGGGGTCAACTCAACTTAGTGATTCCTTGTCTCTTTCGTCTGTTTTATATGTTCCTCAGTTTCTCTTTAATTTAATGTTTATCAGAAAGCTTACTAAATCTCTCCAGTGTTCTGTTACATTTTATCCTACTTCTTGTGTGTTTCAGGATCTCAAGATGAAGAAGATGATTGGTACGGGACATGAAGCTGGTGGCTTATATTACTTTGATTTGGAACCTTATCCTGTGGCTCTTCAGTCTTCTTTGTCTCCATTCCAGTGGCACTGTTGGCTTGGTCATTCGTCACTTCAAGTTTTGAAGCGTTAAGTTCCTAGTCTTAGTCATTTGAAATTTTTGTCATGTGAAGTTTGTCAACTTAGTAAGCACCATTGTGTGTCTTTCAAGTCTAGGGTATATAATCGTGTCTCTAGTCCTTTTCATTTGGTTCATTCAGATGTATGGGGTCCAATAAAACATTCTTCAATCAATAAATTTCATTATTTTGTGATATTTGTGGATGATTATTCTTGCCCGACTTGTTTGTTTCTAATGAAAGATCGTTCTGAGTTATTTTTAATTTTTCAAAAATTTCGAAAAGAAATCAAAACTCAGTTTGGATGCCCAATTCGTATTCTACGTTCTGATAATGCTAAGGAATATTCTTCAACCCCCTTTGATACATATCTTAGTGATAAAGGAATTATTCATCAAAATTCATGTGTTTATACTCCTCAACAAAACGGAGTTGCCGAACGTAAGAATCGACACCTTTTAGAGGTAACCCGTGCTCTTTTGTTTCATATGCGTCTGCCTAAACGGTTTTGGGGTGATACTGTTCTTATTGCCTGATCTTATTAACCGTATGCCATCCTCTGTATTAGATGGCAAATCTCCATATTCTATTTTATTTCCTGATTCTCCCTTGTTTTCTCTTACTCCTAGAGTTTTTGGCTGTGTATGTTATGTCCACAATCTTGGTCCTGGTTTTGATAAACTAGACCCCCGTGCCACAAAGTGTGTATTTCTTGGCTACTCTCGTTCTCATAAAGGTTATCGCTGCTATAGTCCTGTTTCTCAACAGTACTTTATTAACGCAGATGTAACCTTTTGTGAGTCCATCTCATATTTTTTAGATCCTGATTCACTTCTTGATATCACTCCTGAGTCGCCTCTTCCTGCGGTTTCTCTTCCTTCACTGTCTCTTCAACCTCGATCTCCTTCGCCTGTCCCGTTTCAGGTATACACTCGAAGACCAAAGCCATCTGCTGTCGTGCCACCTCCATCGTTTCCAGAGTCTTTGGATCCAACACCATCCACTGTGTCTTATTCCTTGCCTATTGCACTTTGTAAAGGTATTCGCTCGTGTGTCACTAATCATCCCATTGCTCATTATGTCTCTTATAATTCCTTATCGCCATCCTTCTCATGTTTTTCCTCTTAGTTGTCTATTACATTTGTTCCTAAGATTGTGCAGGATGCTTTGTTTGATTCGGGCTGGAGGAAAGCAATGCAAGATGAAATGGATGCTTTGCATCAAAATGGCACATGGAATCTTGTTCCATTACCTCCAGGTGCCAAACCTATTGGTTGTCGCTGGGTATATACTGTGAAGTATCTTCCAGATGGGTCCGTTGCGCGTTTAAAAGCACGTCTTGTTGCCAAAGGTTATACCCAGACTTATGGTATTGACTATGATGAGACGTCTGCCCCTGTTGCTAAGATTTCATCTATTCGTGTTTTGATTTCTCTTGCTGCTAATAGGCATTGGCCTCTATTTCAGTTAGATGTTAAAAATGCCTTTTTGTATGGTGACTTGGCAGAAGAGGTTTATATGGAGCAACCACTTGGGTTTGTTGCTTAAGGGGAGTATCTTCATACTGTTTGTCGCCTTAAAAAGGCCCTGTATGGATTGAAATAGTCTCCACGGGCTTGGTTTGGAAAATTTTTTGAGGCGGCATTACAATTTGGTCTTAACAGATGTCAGACCGACCATTCGGTATTTCACCAGCGCACTAAAGCTGGCTTCATATTTCTTGTGCCTTATGTTGATGATATTGTGATCACATGTGATGATTCTGAATGCATTGCTAAGTTGAAGTTGTTTCTACAATATCGATTCCACACTAAAGACTTGGGTAAACTTAGGTATTTCTTGGGTATTGAAGTTGCTAGATCTAAGAAGGGTATAAGTTTATCCCAACGAAAATATGTGTTGGACTTGTTAGAAGAAACAGGTATGTTGGGTGGTCGTCCGGTTGATGCTTCTATGGATTCAAATATAAAACTTGTGTCTGATGAGGGTGATCTATTTAATGACCCAGGCAGATTTCGTCGTCTTGTTAGGAAATTAATTTATCTAACTATCACTCGACTTGATATTTCATTTGCAGTTAGTGTTGTAAGTCGGTTCATGGGAGCCCCTAGAATTCCACATTGGATTGTTGTTCTTCGGATTATCCGATATCTCAAGCGAGCTCCAGGTTTTGGGTTACTATATAAATCAAATGGTCATCTTAGGGTGGAAGGTTTTACAGATGCCAACTGGGCTGGTTCTTCTTCAGACAGGAGATCTACTACAGGCTATTGCACATTTGTAGGAGGAAATCTTGTTACATGGCGAAGTAAAAAGCAAACGGTGGTAGCTTGGTCTAGTGCTGAAACTGAGTATAGGGCAATGGCTCATACCACTAGTGAGTTGACATGGATACAACATTTTCTAAAATAACTTGGGTTGACAGTTGAAGCTCCTACTCCACTGTTCTGTGATAATCAATCAGCAGTTCACATTGCATCAAATCCTGTGTTTCATGAGAGGACCAAACATATTGAAGTTGATTGTCACTTCATTCGAGAAAAGAATATTATGTGGGAGCATCTCTACTCCATTCGTGAAATTTGAAGATCAATTAGCTGATATGTTTACCAAGGCATTGGGTCATAACCGGTTAAGAACTATCTGTTCCAAGCTGGGATTATTTGATATATATTCTCCAGCTTGAGGGGGAGTGTTAGAATGTTATATATATATATATATATATATATATATATATATATATAGATGTTGGGTCATTATGTAATTACATTTAGTTAGTAGGCCCTTGTGTTATTTAGTTAACTTTGTATCCTTTATATAAGTCTACATAGGCTTATTAGGTTAAGTGACAATATATGAAATATACAGCTGCAGTAGCCATGATCTCTCTCTCTCTCTCTCTTATCAGTTTGAACAGCAACTAAGGTTGTTATCTGTCGCATGATATTTTTTTAGATGCTTTGAAGTATGTAGCCAGTGGTAGTGGCATAAGAAATCTTTCTCGTTTTTGCAATTTCATGATCATTTATCTCATGAGAAAAGAGTACCTCTCTCTCTCTTTCTCTCTCTGTGCATGTGTGCACGCACGTGTGACAAGTGCGCTTGCATGCATGTAGCCCGCGCGTGTGTGGTGTGTGTACGTGTGCATGTCCCATCAACTAAAATTGATTCGGTGACAACATTTCTTGTGATCATAATTCAATTCCTATGATATCTAATTAACATGACGGTAATCATTAAGTTAATGTTGTATCACTTTTGATCTGCAGATTTTAGAAACTCCAAGTCTTTTGGCTGAGGGCTCAACTGGTCAAAAGGAACATCTTTAAACAAAAACCTCCAGAGGCTGATGCATCAGCTAGCGGGTGTTGCTGAAGGTGACGGAGACTATCCCTTACTTGTCAGCAACTCTCGCTTGTCCATGCAGCGTTCTGATATGCCTTGGCCAATGATAAAATCAATTTAAAATATGCAATCAAGATTCAAGTTTGGGAATCTGGATGAATTGGCACAAACAGTAGGGCCATTGTTTTTCACGAAATGCATAAAGGACTATACCCAAAGAAAAGAATCAATAGTAGTTGAAACATCTCTCTCTTACAAGTAAAAGAGGAATATTGGGGTGTGTGTGTGTGTTGGGGTTTGTGTTGGGGAAGTACTTCTGGACCGGGACAATGCAAAGCTTTTCTGGTTTGACTTGAGAACGAAAACAGTCAAGAATGTTAGGATTCCTTGTTTGCCGACTTTCTATGGAGATCTAATTTGTGTGGGAAGTCTAGTTCCACTCCACAGTAATGGTGGATGAGATGGAAAAACCAGCAAGCACAAGAGAAGGTGAGAGCAAGAAGAATAGAAAGGAGAGGTAATCCCAAATTAATCCTTTTGTGTTCTTTTTGCTCTGCCTGTATTATCTCACTGTAATTTTTGATGCTTTAAATGACATGATCAGACATATTGCTGGCCGTTAGAATTGTTAGCTGTACTATCTGTGGATTGTGGAAATATTATTAATCTAATTACATTGCAACTGCTAAAGCTGGTATTGAATTCTCATCCTCTAGTAGTAAATTAATCTGGAGCCTAGAATTATATTGCCTTTGTTTTTGTATAATAATGTCACCTTATATCTTTGTTACGTGTTATATTTGATTCCCTTAAAGATGACTTCCTGTCAAGGGGGTTCGAATTGGCGATTTAAGAAACTTGAAGATAAAACTTAGGAGAGAAAAGGTGGGAAGGTGGGTCATTAGATTTGGCAGCATTTTTTTTTTTTTGATAAGTAAAATTTTATAGAAAACGCTCAAAAGGGGAGCGTAACCCAAGGAAACAAGAAACACAAGGGCCAAAGGGCACCTTAGACCTTCAAAGAGGCCAAAAAAACAATGATCTCCTCCGTAGATCTAGAATCTCTCCCTGAAACCCAACAAAAAAGAGTAGAAATAATAGAAAACTTGAGAATAGAAATAGATTTCTTTTGTCCATCAAAATATCTTCTATTTCTCTCAAGCCAAATACACCACCAAATACAAAGAGGCGTAGCCCTCCAAGCATCTCGAATAAGAGCCCCAACAGAGATGCCTCTCCAAGCCTCAATCAACCCTCTAGCATAACAAGGCATAACCTAATTGACCCCAAATAAACCAAGCATCAAATCCCAACAGGCTCTGGCCATGTTGCAATGTAAGAGAAGGTGATCAACTGTTTCCTCATCACTCAAGCACATATAACAATGATTGACCACCACCTTGTTTCTCTTCCTTAAATTATCCTGGGTTAAAATCTTACCCAAAACAGAAGTCCAAGCAAAAAAGGCAACCTTGAGGGGAGCCTTAGATCGCCAAATAGCCTTCCAGGGGAAGGGGTCTCCAGGAACAACCGAAAGGCACCTGAAAAAAGATCTAACCTCGAAACGACCCTACGAGTTAGGAACCCAGAACCAAAAATCCGACTCCCCAAAAGTGATCTCCTGGCTATACAGAAGCTCCAAAAAACGAGAAACATCCTCTATTTCCCAATCCTGAAAGTGCCTCCCGAACTGAACATCCCAAGTAAGTCTCCCGTTATCAAGGTGATAACAGTCCACCACTATGGCTTGTCGATGGGAATTAGTTCCTGGTATCTTTGTCTTTAAATTTGTGTATATTGGTTACTTGAAGTCTAATGGTGTTCTGTCTTATAGGAGATATTCTACCAAGTATAGGAACAATGATGGGATTGAGTAATTAATGCTATAGGGATGGGCATATGAGAAGAACAATTTTACTTATAAAACCTAATTGACCATGTTGCTCGTCTTAAATATCTAATATGCAAAATCGTGTTACTAATTAGGATTGATGCTGGACCAGGGCAGTAGTTGGGAATGTTATAAAGTTTGCAGGTGGAAGGAAAGAAAGAAGATTTAAGGATGTTTTTCATAATATATTATGTGCTTTTTCACTTGTAAAAAAATATATATTATGTGCTTTTTTCGTAAAGACAAGTTATATAGTCAAAAAGATTTCCATTTTTTTTTCCTTTTTGGTATTAACAGCTATGGTCTTGCTTGGTTCTGTTTTCTGAAAACTGTTGTCAAGAACTCAAAAAATAGACCTTTTGACTTCACCCAATAGGACCTTCAAATTTTTAGTTGATGTCTTTGACGTCCAAATATATCGAATTTATGAATATCAAATGATTTTGTTTCATTTTGCTTTTTTTTTTTTGGTTTTGTATGAAATTTGAATTATCTTTGTACCTTTAATGGTTAAATGAATAATAAACTAGTAATATTTCATATTCTTTTGCCCATATTTTTGTGTAACTACGGCCAAAAGTACAGCTATACTATATTCTTCTGAGTTCTTTTGCCCGAATTCCAGAATATCCATTGCAATGGAACCTGGATGGATTTAGGAGGTGCTAGTGTTGACATGGATTTAAATTTGAAACTCTATCTAAAAGCAAGATGAGCCAGAGTCACGTAGCTGTATACTTATTCTTGTTATATTACAAAGGATGCTCCTGTGAGGTACTTTATATTTGTTAGAATGTTTGTTTGGGTCATTATGTAATTACCAATAGTAGTTAGGATTATTGTGTAATTAAGCAATATTGTGTAATTAGGGTATAACCCATTGTCCTTTATATAAGCTTCATTTGGGCTGAAGAGAATATATACAATATACACAGATTTCTCTCTCTCTCTCTCTCTCTCTCTCTCTCTCTCTCTCTCTCTCTCTCATGAATCCGAATATGGTATCAGAGCTATATAGATTCATGGGTGTGGAAAACGACAATTGTGTTGCTCTTGTATGAGATTGGAATCGCGATCAGAATCGCGTGTGTGTTGTTGGTGTCTTTGCCGGAAGTTCTTGTCGCTGGCAAGTTGAGAACATCATTCGTCGTCGTCTTCGTCAGATCTGAAGCCTCCGTTGTCGCCGTCAGATCTGAAGGCCCTTTGGCCGCTTGTGTTGTTGCCGCTTTGGTCGTCAGCAAGCTCGCCGACATCTACCGTCGTTAGTTGCAGAGGTGAGGCTTCATCGATTCGTCTTTTCTCTTGGTCGGAAGTTGCAGAGGTTTTGATTCGGTGTGGTGTCGCTGATTATTGCCGTCGCTGCTGCGTGCTTGCCGGAGTCTGTCGGTGGTGTTGTGAAGAAGAACAGCCGTGTTTGGTTACACGGTTATGCTATTCCAACCCTGGTTTACTAAAACCGGAATAGCAAAGACCTGGTTTTGATCTAGCCCCGGTTGCCGAGATCCAACCCGAATACCCGATACCCAGATCCGACTCGGTTGCCGATTTTGCAATTTTTTCCAGGTTCGTTTTTTTTTTTTTACCTTTTCCATGGCTTCCAGTTCTGACCTGTTATCTTCTACCTCCTTCAATCCTCCCATGACTTAAGTCAAGCTTAATGGCAAAAATTACATTTTATGGGCCAAGTCAGTAGCCATTTTCCTGAAGGCCAAAGGCTTTGGCACTCATTTGGTTCAGGATAAGCCCAAAAGCAGTGATGCCGATTTCAGTTCATGGGAACAAAGGGATGCTCAGATCATCTCCTTAATGCTGAATTGTATTGAACTTCATATTAGCTCCAACTTGTTATATCTGGACACTACCAAGGAGATATGGACCCGACTCCAACAGTTATATTCTGGTACTGGTAATATAACCAGAATTTATGAGGTGTGTAGACAATTTTTTGATCTCCAGCAAGGGACTCACAGTTTAGAAGAATACCTCTCACGGGCGATGGGACTTTGTGAAGAAATGAACTTGTATCAACCCATCACCTCTGATGTGAAAAGCATGCAACAACAACGTGAGGATTTTAATGTTGTTCGGGTTCTCACAGGCTTGCCACAAGAGTATGAACCTGTTCATGCACAGATTTTGGGTAGCCCTACACTTCCCTCTCTACCTGATATGTTATCCAGACTCCAGTGTGCCACTTTATCTAGTGACACTTCAGGGGGTGCGTCAAGTGGTGTCACTGCTCCTCCTAGCAGTGACCGTTCTGCCTTAGTTGTGAACCCGGGTGGCTTTCAGTCTTCTCGTGGCGGTGGTGGTCGTTTTACTCGTGGTCGTGGCCGTGGCCGTGGTCGAGGCAAAGGCAGAGACTCAAAACTTTGCACTCACTGCGGTCTTACTAATCACACTGTCAATTACTGTTGGGATCTTCATGGGAAACCGCCACCTTCTTCCTATGCACATCAAGTGACTTCTAATGATGGAATTCTTCTCTCTCTACCACACCCACTGCTCCACATGTGGCTATTGAGATTGCTATGGTCACGATTCCCCGCGATGAGTATGCTCAGTTTCTGTCTCAACAACGGCCTTCCACCTCATCTTCCATGGGGTCCTTGGCCAATCAGGTAGTGCCCCTACATGTCTTTTGTCCTCTAGTCAGAGTCCCTGGATTCTTGACTCTAGCGCATTCGATCACATGACTGGTAGTTCTCATCTCTTATCTGATTTTCAGTCTGTTCCTTCCTCTCAAAGTGTTACTCTTGCTAATGGATCATCAACTAAAGTTTTGGGTTTGGGGACTATTCATCTTACCTTTTCTATGTCCCTTTCCTCTGTGTTATATGTTCTTCAATTCCCTTTTAATTTGTTGTCCATTAGTAAAATTACTAAATCTCTTAACTGTTCCGTTACATTTTATCCCACATGTTGTCTTTTTCAGGATCTCAAGACGAAGAAGAGGATTAGTACGGGACATGAAATAGGTGGCTTGTATTACTTCGATCTTGCACCATCTCCCATAGCTCTTCAATCATCTTTGTCTTCTTTTCGGTGGCACTGTCGTCTCGGCCACCCATCACTATCAGTTTTGCAGCGTCAAGTCCTCGGTCTTAGTCATATTGAGTCCATGTCTTGTGAAACATGTCAACTTAGTAAGCATTGTCGTGTATCTTTTAAACCGAGAGCTAATAATCGTGTTGCTAGTCCTTTTCAATTAGTTCATTCAGATGTATGGGACCAATAAAACATATTTCTATTAATGGATTTCGTTATTTTGGGACTTTTGTGGATGATTATTCTCGGATGACTTGGTTGTTTTTAATGAAAAATCGTTCTGAATTGTTTTCTATTTTTCAAATATTTCGCAAAGAAATAAAAACTCAATTTTGGTGTTCCATTAAAGTTTTACGTTCTGACAATGCCAAAGAATATTTCTCGGACCCTTTTGAGTCTTATTTTCATGCTAAAGGCATCATTCATCAATCATCTTGTACTTATACTCCGCAACAAAACGGAGTAGCTGAACGGAAAAATTGTCATCTCTTGGAAGTCTGTGGTGCCCTTTTATTTCATATGCATGTTCCCAAACGATTTTGGAGTGATGCTGTTCTTACGGCATGTCATCTTATTAA